GTGAGGAAGTGTGCGTGATGACACAGGCGTGAGGAAGTGTGCGTGATGACACAGGCGTGAGGAAGTGTGCATGATGACAGGTGTGAGGAAGTGTGCATGATGACACAGGCGTGAGGAAGTGTGCGTGATAACACAGGTGTGAGGAAGTGTGCATGATGACACAGGCGTGAGGAAGTACAGTGTCACTACAAACCACGTCTTCTTCCCCAATGAGGTTCCCCAAACGTTACAGGATGGATAGGCATACAGCAACAACAAAGAGCATTTACAACATAATCGTAAAAATAAAAAGTATGAAAAGATGTGTTAAAGAGTCCGAATTCTGATAGATGAAAGGAAAGGCAGCCAGAACAGTTAACCCGAACTCAAAATGAAGAGTCCTAGATACATGACAAGAAGCTGGGCGTATTCTAATTCAACAGGGAGATGCTGGTACTTTTCAAACAAAGGGCGGTTCATAAGAATATATCAATATTTTAGGAAAAATTGTGTGATAGCTAGCTTATTCACAATAGTCAATTTGGTTAGGTATTTATATAATTAATATTTATGTATAAAATTACTAGAAAATGATATCACTAAAATTATTAGATCTATTGCTTATAAATCCTGATTATCTTCCACCTAGGTAAAATCATTCTATGTACTTAAAGTAAAAAAAGAAAAATAATAACCCTTAAATACATTTTAAAATATTCTATAATTGAGAATCATTAATCCATTTGGGTTTTCCCAACAGCTCCAAGTTAGAGAGTTATGTATATATTTCATGTAATTGGTACTTCCAGTTTGAAACTTTTAACAATGTCACTAAAATTACTTTCATACTATTATCTCATGATACATGGTAGGGGAAAACTTGCTACACATCAAATATGGCCCAATAAAGTCATTGCCATAGGGTTTTTATCTTTATCCTTACCATTACAAGTTCCTCTTGTAACTCACTGTAACTTTTTTCATTATATTGGAGTCTCTTTGAAAGATCTATAATTACTTTCTTCTGTTCGTCGATCTCTTCACTTAGTTTCTTGTTTTTGGAGAAATACTCTCTTTCTAATCTGAAAAGTTAAAAATGTCAGAGCAGGTTTTTCAAATGTACTTCTCCTTCACGCAAGTAAGTGATGTTCTATACATCATGTTTACGTGCCAAAAGCCTTCTTAATGCCCATTTCTCCTTTTTTTAAATTAAAAGGTTTATGGTGCATTCTTGAATGAAAGATTTTAAGGGAATAACACTTCTCCTTTGACAGTAGATATCTGGACTGTGTCCAAGTTAATATGCAAAAGAGACTGGGATAGTATTGACAGGGTCTCACCGTTACTTTGATGAACAAAATCTACCCATCTAATTCAGTCAGTTCAGAAACTGCCTCAAGACTGATAAAAGTCTGGGGGGCTGTGAGTGAGTATGCATGTTGCATGCTCATGAGTGTGCAAGTGAACACACCTATGCATGCACACATGCATACACACACACACACACAACCACAGAGGCAACAGCAGGATATCAAGTGGTCTCCTTACTGACCCAAAGCTCATTGTTTTTGGCTGGCTGGCCATGCCTGCCTTCCCACGTGGGTGATAAGGATTCAAAAACTTAGCCTCTCAAGATTACTGAGTATGTGATCTTACTTACTGAGCCATGTCCTTAGCCCCCAAGAAAATTATTTTGAAGTCAGTGATAAGTTATTAACATACAACAAAAATGAAGCAAATGTTTTTATCCCTACGAATAGAACTGATTTGGCATATGGAAAACTCAAAAAGGAAAAAAAAATCAAAATGTTCATTTATTTTGAAGACATGTTTACTGCTCTAGTTGGAGCTGTGAGCCTGGGAGAGCAGAGCCTAAAAATGAGGCAGACAAAAGCCTCATGCAATAGCCAACTTTATTCAGAGCATCAGACAATTTATGCTCTGAGAGTTAAGAAGAATCACCAAATAAAGTATACAACACAAGGACAAGCTGCACATGACAAAAACATATTTCCGTAGAGGCACATGAATAGCAACAGCTGAAGGAAACTCACTCCTACCCCACACCTGGGAGGAACACAAAAACACATTCCAAGAACAATTCTGTGTTCTGAAGAAACAGAGGTCAAGACTCTTGTCTTGTTTCCTTGGAGTTTTCTCACAAACACTCAGAATTATCACATGACTCCATTCTTAGACTGTGTTCTGATAAGGACAAATAAATTTCTTTACAAAAAAAGTGCTTTATTATTTAAATGTAGTTCGGGCTGATATTAAACTGTGTTTACAATGGTTTCATTTTGGTTTTGGTTATTGGATAGAGTCTCACCATGTAGCTCCTATTGGCCTGGAACTCTTTTTGTAATCTACTATGCTGGCTCAAACTCAGTGATCCTCCTGTTCAGCCTCCCCAGGGCTGAGATTATGTGAGAGAGCTATCACACGTAGCTGTGTATATTCTCACGTGGACATACGATGAAAGGCAGCTCATAAGCATTGCACCTAAAAAATTCCCATGCATGTGAATGACATCAATTCAACTGATGTCACTATTTTAGCCTGAGATCTTCCTAGCAGCTGCAACAGACCCATTTCTTCTGTCTTCAGCTGTAACACAGGGGAGTAGAGTGATTCTTTGACCAAGGCAGTACTGCACTCAGGCCAAAGGAAAAATAAGAAACTAATTTTCCAATGGCACTTGCCCATACGCTGAACAGACATTTTCTTCCTCAGGGTACAACACAAACAAGTCTTGTACATTGTCTTTTCAACCAAAGATATTCCAAGTAAATTATCTAAAACTAATAAATGTGTATAGAAGAATTAGATACTACATTTATACCATGTAAATCTCTTGGAAAGTAGAACAAAATAATGAAAATGGATCAAAGTAAAGAAAAGGTATGTAAATCGGAAAATCAATCCAAGAATCCCAATATATAAATGGTCAAGGTTCCAGGCTGAAGCAACTCACAACAGGCCTGACATCTTGAGAGTTCGGAATGCTGGATCAAGAGAGAAGCGTCCATAGAGTACAAAAGTCATCCATATTATTATTTCATCATGTATTACATAGTGAGTCTCTATAAACACATACAGTAAAAGGCCGTTTGCCTCTGATTTCAGATGTAAACACCGCGTTTCCAGAGGAAACCACAGACCACAAACAGAAGGATCAAATGACTTCACACTTGCCCACCACTTGCACTGACTGAATAGCCAGCTGACCTATGAAAAGACGGGAAGACCAAAAGTCATTTTCAGAATGTGCCTGCAAATTCTCCCTGGTCTCCAAGTTCTCCAAGAGGCTACTTTAGGGTGCAGCAAACCCATGACAGGGGGCAAGAGATAAGAAGTCAAGGGGCTCACAGTGGAAGAAGCCAGAGGAATTCCAAGCAGCATGTTAAAGATAGGTCCTAACATGAGTACACACAGGAAATCCAAAAAGCCAGACGGAGACAGAGAGGCCCCTTAGAAAAAACACAGTATGACAGAATTTCAGGTCTACTAGACTTTAAGAACACCTAGAGGCTGGAGAGATGGCTCAGTGTGGAGAGCACTTGCTGCTCTTCAGTCTGGTCCCAGAGGTCCTGACATCAGGAGGCTCATAACCATCTGTACCTCTCTGACACCCTCCTCTGGCCTGCACAGGCATCCACACACACACGGTATCCACTCACACAGACACAGACTCACACCAATAAAAACTACAACAATTAAGTTAAATTAAAAATAGCCAGGCAGGTGTGCTGGGCTCTGCTGACTCCCCATGGGAGACCTCGATTTGGGGGAGGTGGGGATGCAGGGTGGCTTGGGAAAGAGGGCTGGGGGTGGGAGGAGGGAGGAGGGGGGTCTGTGGATAGCATGAGGAGTGAGTAGAAAATTTCTTAATAAAGAAAAATAAAATAAAATAAAAATAGCCAGGCAACTGGGCATGGTGGCACATGCCTTTAATCCCAACGCTCAGGAGGCAGAGGCAGGCAGGTCTCTGAGTTCAAGGCCAGTCTGGTCTACAGAGTGAGTTCCAGGACAGAGAAATCCTGTCTCAAAAGGAAAAAAAGGAAGAGTTATTGAGTCCCAAGCTAATCCCACGCAAGAGGTAACAAGGACTGCTTTCTCGTTTGTCGACTCAGCAGCTCTCAGTGCTACTTTATAAAGCAAGGATTAGTCTAGGCATCTGGAGAGAGCATGGGCAAAGCGTATGGCAACAATAGAAAACAAAACATACAGTAAGATTGCTATAAAGGAAAATAAAGACAAGTGATCAAAAAGTGGTGTAGGGAAAAAGGATGCTGAACTCTGAGTATCACTCTGGGAGAAAAAGAAGCGGGAAGGAACAGGGAGACATTGTATGAGGGAAGCAGACAGCAGAGATCAATCAGTAGAGGCTACTTCACAATATCTAAAGAGCATGGCAGAACATGCATGTAATTTATAATCTGAGGCCTGGAGAGATGGCTCAGAATGAAGAGTGCTTGCAAGACAATGAGCTCCATTCCCAGCACCCACACTGGGTGACTCCAAACTGCCCCCAAGTGCAGCCTCCGGGATCCAACATCAGCTTCTGGCCTCCATCCACATTCCTCACCTGTTTTCTTCCTCTCCCTCCCTTTCTCTCCCCCTCTCTCTGTCCTCTCTCCTCTCTCTCATACACACACACACACACACACACACACACACACACACACACTTAAAATATAATCTTTTTACAATAAAATACAATCTTTTTAAAACTAAAACATAAAATTAACATCAAAGCAATAGCAGTAAAAATCAAGCAATTGCCATCCATAAAAGAAGCTGGGAGGCAAAGGCAAAGACATCAGTTGCTGTTTCTCATGATCTGGGCAGTACTGTTTTACCCTTTAAACTATGTGCAGGTGTTAACTTGATAAAAATCAGTATTTTAGTCAAAAATAACTATTGTCCAATAAATACAAAGTTAAATTTACGAGTCATTTGTGCCATTTTAAAAATTCAAAACCTAGGGTTGGTGCTGGAGAGACGGCTCCACAGTTAAGAGCACTTGTTGCTCTTGTAGAGGACCCGGGTTCAGTTCCCGGCACCTGCAGAGGAGCTGTCAACCACCTATACCTCTAGTTCCAGAAGACCTGACATCTCTTCTAGCCTCCGTAGACACTATGTACACATGGTACAGAGACACACATGCAGGCAAAAACACCCACACATATAAAATAAAAATAATAAATCTTAAAATTGATCACTAAAAAGAGGAGCGATGCCCTACTGTTAGCAATGTGATATAAAGAAGGCGGCTCCTGCACCTCTAATGGCCACAAGCAAGAGGAAGGAATGTGTAAGGAAAGACAGGTCAGGGAGCTCCTCGGAGAGGCAGGACTTACAGAGCAGAGAGCTGGGGAAGGAGAGAAGAGCAGGAAGCCTAGAGCCAGGACGCTTCCTTAATGGAGTCTGATTGTTTGAAGTTCATCTAATAGTTTGTCAATAGCATAGCATGCGTTTTTGACGACAAGTAATATCTCTTCAGGCTATATTTTAGCAAGAATGTAAATAATGGTGCCACTAAATCATAACACTGTTTTTATTCAGAAATATATTTAGAAAAATAAAAAAGCTCCTAATTATTGAAGAACAGAAGGAATAAAATTTATCTGTAGTCCATTCAGTGTCCTATCTTTAGAGCCATTCTAACTTATATTTCAATGTAGACGGATTGGAGGCTCACCACCAGCTTTTCCCTACTACTGCCCAACAATCAATTATATAACTAACTAAGATCAAACTATATTTGAAAATGCTCTAATCCAAAATCATTGAAAAGCTTCTCCTACAAGTTTTTAAATGTAAAGAAATTTTATAGCTGAAAAAATATAGTAATAGAAATATGGTATATTCCACCTAAAACAATTTCATACAGTGCTGTGGATATTACTCTATGTAAATAAAACACTGATGGCCAGTGACCAGACAGGAAGTATAGGCGGGACAAAGAGAGAGGAGAATTGGGGAAACAGGAAGAAGGAGAGGGAGACACTGCAGGGACCGCCAGGAGAAGGGCATGTAAAGACACCGGTAAGCCACCAGCCACGTGGCAAGCTATAGA